TACAGACCACAAACTATTGATATCCTGGTTTGGGGAAACCAAAGGTATACAACAAATGGCATCACCGAGGATGCAAAGATGGGCTATAACCTTGAGTGCTTACAGTTACAAGATTGTTTATATTACCGGCGTCAGCAACTGCACAGCTGATGCACTCAGCCGTCTGCCGATCACGGGAACTGCACATGAACACGACCCTCCGTTTGAACTGGTTAATCTAATGCAACATCTAGACACAATACCGATACGGAGTTCAACAATCCGTCAATGGACGGATCGAGACCCCGTGCTATCAATGGTGAAACGCTTTTTGAACATGGGCTGGCCTCCTGAAGGGACAGTTGAATTACAACCGTTTATGATTCGGAAGAACGAACTGAGTCTATTCGACGGCTGTGTTTTTTTGGGGCTCTCGTCTAATCCCTCCCACCAAGGCGCGTTCACAGATACTTAAAGAGCTCCATGATGCTCATCCAGGTGTGGCGAGGATGAAGGCACTAGCGAGAGGGTACTGCTGGTGGCCCAACATCGATTCAGACATAGAGAACTTACTGAAGGATTGTGATATTTGTCAGGCGTATCAGCGGAGCAAGGCGCCAGGTCCAATACACCCTTGGCGTTGGCCCGACAAGCCCTGGCAGCGTATCCACGCCGACTACTTCGGACCGATCGACCGGACCATGTTTCTTCTACTTATTGATGCACATTCTAAGTGGACTGACGTACATCCAGTTACTCAGGCGACAGCCGAATCCACCATCACTAAAATGCGCTCGTCCTTCGCTACGTTTGGCATTCCGGAAACCATTTGTACAGACAATGGTTCGCCTTTTACCAGTGCCGAATTTGGTAAATTTGTCGCCAACAACGGAATCCAACACGTTAAATCAGCCCCGTATCACCCAGCATCAAACGGATTAGTGGAGCGTGCAGTACAAACTGTGGAACAAGGCTTACTAAAGCAGCGAACGGGAACATTGCGAACAAAACTGGATCGGTTTCTATTCTCCTACCGTTCTACACCCACTGAGGCTACCGGGAGATCCCCGGCGGAATTGACGTTCGGCAGAAATCTGAGAACGAGGCTTCATTTGTTGTTCCCGAACCCGCGTGTTGAAGTACAGGAGCATCAGAAAAAGTTTGTGTCTTCAGAGGAATCAAAGCCGGAAGTTACATTTCAGGACCATCAACCTGTTTACACCAGGTTACCGCATGAACAATGTTGGCAGCCGGCGACTGTGCTCGATTCTTCAGGAAGTCAAAACGATTTGCAGCTTCCGGACGGCCGGGTTGTTCGCCGGCACTCAGATCATGTACGTCCCAGGAGCACTGACACACCTGCCGTGAGTCAGTCACACTAGGAGATCGCAGAGCAAGCTGCAGAGCATGACGAACACAGAACAACAGGGGAAACTCAATTACGCCGATCGACCCGGATTCGCAAACCGATCGAACGTTTTCAACCATGACTGTAACGTCAGCCAAAACAGGGAGGACTGTTACGTGTTCAACCAATGACCGTGAACCTGATTGGCCCTACACACATACGTAGATAAGCACGCACACACGCACTCAAGGACACACCCTAACGTTCCGTGCTCACATGTAAACCGTTAAGTGTTCAGTATACTGTGCGCCAGACTGACGTGTCTTCTTGCTTATTCGCTACGAGTTGAAATACGTACTTGCGGTTAGAGTCCAGACGTGATACACACAAAGGTGGAATACTGGCGCTAGATAAAGGTAGCCCAATTTTCTATAATGTCTCCAACTTCCATCTTATTCCAACCAATTGTTTGCATGCAACTTACATTTTTCGATATCATGTTGGTCTTTTGTTAATACCCAGGAGCCCAGGTATAAAGGACGGTTAGGCTGATGGCCTCAGGTTTAGTGGGATTAAAGAAACTGCCAATCCGTTGGTTGGGGGAATAAGGAGGAATAGCATAAATCACAAAAGACGGTCCAAACAGAAAAAGAGACAGAATTCTCTGTCTAGCCACATGAGACACAATTTATATTTCTATCTATCATAAGTAGGAGAGGAGAAAGTATCAAACCAGCAGGTTTCGAGTGCGCACAGACAAGCACGTTCCATCGTAATGTAAAGGAGACACCTGCAACCGGTCATTACGATGGCTTTGGAGTGCCAGGAAGAGGATTCGCCTAAATGCGGATGATATGTGTGCCAATGAGTGCAAACCGGCTTCAAAAGAATTGTGGTCCTCCCGTAGGCATATAACAATCCTATTTCTTCGGATATATTATGGCTATGTGAACTGTAGGGGTCTGTGAGTATCATAGTACAGGCCTCCACGATCTCCCTGTGGACGTAGGTAGCCCGGTTCATCTCACAATAAGGCTGTGGGCTGACTTACCAACCAGCCAGTCGAGCAAGTGTAGGTTCAATGACGATGTGTACGTGGAAACACAGTAAATGAGCTAGGTGCATTTGCGAACTAAACGCGCGGAGTTAATGAGTAGTAGGAGTATTTACATTATTTCAAAATAAGCAAACAGAAGTATCGATAGAAACAACTTCGTGCTCAACGTGTTGCGTTAAAGTGGGCGGATAAAATAAGCAATATCGTCGTCCTCGAAAGAAAAAATAAGCACCGGCGAAAGTGGTACTCGTATTTATATCTTTATTTAATGTTAGCGATCAAACAAGAGATACAGAACTAAGACCGAATCTGAAATGAAGAGTAACAGAAAAATGGACAACCTTATAAATCAAAAGATATAGTCTAACCTGTTTACATTAGGAATGTAACACAACTTCACTCAGAGGTTTCGCAACAACACTGGTAAACTAATTCTGCGAAGAACCAGGACAGCTACTCGATTTAACTTCTTTCTCGTTAGATACGCTTTCCTGTAGAATAGCTTACAAGACATTATCAAGTCTTTTGCAAATGCGACAACATTCTACAACAAGCTTGGAAATTTCTTGGATCAGAACTCGACGATGACAATGTTTTCATAAGGAAAATCACCAAATGAATTCTGTTAAGGTGCATCAAGGAATATAAAGCCAATGGAAGAGGCTGTTGCACAAAAATCTCAGCAGCAATCAAAACCATGTATCGCAGAATGCCTTAATGACACGGACATTACTAGTTACCTATCTCCCCCATGCATGAGCATGGTCATGACCACATTGGTGGTCTGTTTCTGTTCCAGAAACAGCCTCAAGCACATCAGTGAAGTATATGTATTATTAGAAATAAAGGCCTGCGACGCAAATTGACGCTACTCGAATATCTATTTAGCGCATTGCTTTAAGGACGCGGAAGGAGAATTTGAGGAAGTTATCAGTTAGGATTACACTGAGATAAATCTGAAGCATCAAGTTGTCCGCAATCGCGCAAGGGAACCAAGCAAAATGTATTTCCCAAAAGGTAAGTGCGCAATCGTCTACAAACAGCCATGTGCATGTAGTAGAACAAAATGTCCTTTTTGTTTCAGTAATACAGAAAACATTGTTCATGTCGCTTGTGCCGTAAACAATTAAAACATTATGGTTTCCTTTCAGTATATAACAAAAGGTAGTTTTGTGTTCATTGTGTCTTTACACCTTGTTCTGCAGTATTCGTTTCTGGTCACGTGTTCGAGCCTACGTAGGTGCGGACAACCCACAATATCTCTAGCCCACGCGCGACTGCTGGCTTTTATCTGTGAGAGTGCTCTCACCGACGCTTCGCTATAGTGCGCTACGATACCACACGCTACGTAACAACACACCGATGATGTCACCTCGATTAGTGATGAAGCGTTTGCAACAAAATTGACAAGCTCAACGAACACTGCAACTGCCATATTCCGGGATAAAAGGTAGTGGCGCACATCATACAGTCGTGTTGGGGTCTAGACTAGTACTCGTTACATACGCGACACTGGGCGTACTCAGGTGTAGACAAACATGACAATGAAGTGACATGGCTGCATAATGGCCAGCAAGCGAGGTAAGTAACCCAACGGATTCTCTATAGCAACCAACTACCGAGGAAGGGTCCTATTTGTGTTAACTACCGGATATCTCTTGGAAAAAGGGATTCAAATAGCACCCAGGCTTTCCCAATCGGGCTTCAAAAGATTGTGATTTCAGTGTCGTGAAGCAACCAAAATAGTTGGGGTTATCCATGCATGCCAAGGAAGAGGCGAATATCAAAAGGAATCGAGCCACCTCTTGCGCAATTGGATCATATAGTGCGTAATGTCGAGTGACCTCTGTGGTGAGTGATTGAGCGGCTACCTCAATAGCAGTATGTAAGCGAGTATACCATGTTCAACGATAAGTATCCCTTCTGTCCAACGAAAGCAAACAAACTCGCACCCCATATTCATTTGCAGTGTACATCAAACAAAAACTACGCTGGTGTCCCATGGAAATGGTAATAAGGATGTACATACACAAGTACGACTTCCACCATAGAACGGTGTGCGAGCAATAATAGGCAACAAGGGAGAAAGAAGGGTATCAGAAGTACGCCTGTGTGCTTCACCAGTACTGGGCTGCCACGCGACCACCATCTGCCGAGTGTGGGCACCTATGGATAATGCAAGGCCACCCGCACATAGGTGCAGATGAGAACCGAGAAGGACATGTGGGTTACACAGGGCAGACGCCTAATCCCTTTGGTTATCGACCAAGGATAATCAAGTCAAAAGCGATGCCAACAGAAGCATGCGTGATGTGACTAGTTAGTAGGCTGGTCACTTGCGCAAACTATCTTACTGGAAGGTATATTTTTGCCAATAACTCACCACTAGTCGAAGACACCAGGGTGATTCAGTGATACGAAACGCAAAACAACAGTAAAAGATGGCCAATTGGACACAAGTGTTTGGGTCGTCACTGCCACGGTATACATAGTCACGATGAATGAAAAGGTGACCTTTCACTAACAAGTTTGCACGAATTAAATAATAACTCAATAGGTGACGAGAAACCACAAAAATATGTGAAACGAAAGGCGGTTGGGCACGCTGAAACTCACTCTGCTGTATGTAGTGGCCAGATGACGGAAAGTCGCGTCATCTGGAGAAGCGTGATAGTAGGCAGTGCGATTAATGCTACCATCAAATGGATAGACACCCACAAGCGCACCGGCATGCAGACTGGCCGAAAGGACGAAAGGGCGGCTATGAGTCCAAGCAATGATGGCAGATGTTTCTGGTTCCTAGAATGTAAGCAGAAAAACATGTGGGCTCACCTGTCTGCTGTTGTCATTTGTCTGGTAATATTGATCTGGGAAATTACGATTTAAATCCACTTCATGTTCGTTCGCACGACCCAACGAACTATCAATATCGCCTGAATTAGGGTAAAAACATACGGTTTGATGAGTTACAAGGCAGATAAACACCGAGAGGTCGGTTCTGAAGTGGCTACACTCAATAGGTAATAGGCCTCAATTACTGGCATCCGTTTTACTGGTTTAAGTTCGAGAGGAAAATATGGAAAGCAACAACTACAGTTCAAGTGTTCGTGAGCTATAACTAAGGTTAGATCATCCGATCCTACAGATGGCTTTGGAGAGAAGTCACATAAAAGTCTAGTGGGGAGGTTGATATCCACTGGCATGCAACTGTTGTATCTATTTTTCCTTTGTGTATTGTATTATATGTATGTATGTATTTCCTTCATGTGTTGCGGCACAATAGCGGAGGTGTTTTCCCACCTCTAGCTGATGAGTATAATGATGATGATGATGGAGCGAACGTTAGGCAAAGGAATGTCCCTATCAATAGCCACTTAGACACGATAGACAAACAAGAATGGAAGAGGTAGCAGCGACTGCTAATATGAGATTGAGTTTCCGACAAAATATAATCTATAAGAGTAAGGTAGGCTGAAAGCATAAACCGTTAAGGTGATATTATGTTGTCACAGAACTACGCCCACAAGACAATGGTGCGTCACCTGTCAGGAATTTATGGGTTAAACATAAGCACAATGCGTTACGTCCACAGCATAATGAAGCAAGGCTCAGTGCACATTCTTGTTCAGCTAAACTCAAGCCCTGCGTACATGAGTTGGCTGTGCAAAAGGATTCGGCTATGGCTGACCTAGTAAGATCGTTCCCGTTGAAGACCGGCCATTTCTCTCTCATTCGAGGTTAACTCGAGCGGTATCAAGCTAGTCTCGTGTGCAAGGTTATTATGTTGGATGGTAGCTCTCTTCCTGACTCATTCAGCGGTTACGATTCGTGAGACTGGTATCGATCCACATGCCATCAATCAATCCGCGCGTTTGATGAAACTGTATGACGTCACCCGATTCCTTCGGATAGGAGTGGTGCAGCAGAAACGAACGACATCCGGCAGCCAGTGGATGCGCTTACGTCCTTAGGGCCCCAACAATGCAAGTGGGTGAAACAGTGCTTAGGCACACACTACTATGTGCGTGTGTCCAGAGACAATGGGCAGAATAAGTAAAAGCCACCGATATAAAGAGAAATGTAAGAAAAATGTCGGTGCCCAGCTCATGCACAATACTGAGAACTGATTACCAAATGTTTCTCTCGGACTCTGTAAGACATTTTCGAACAATTACGTCCGGGGTTCGAGTCCTCGTCGAGGCAGATTACTGTGCCAAGTTTAATCGTGGCTACGACTTTCTACAAAAATTACACTACTCACAAAAGCACCAATAATATACGTCTGGAATTCCAAAGGAGCCCACAAGTGTCTGCTCAGCTTAACTTTAGGAACACGGCCGGAAACGATTTGTGGTAGAAACAGTATGAAAACTGTGCAGTGAAAATGAAGCAAATGGCAGGCGAATGGAATGTAACGGATGAAATGATCGGCATGTAAAAGTAAAGAAACCATTGACTGAGTATTGCCAGAGAGGGGAAAAGAGTAGTCCTTTTCGTCAGACTGAGAACCAGGGAGTAGAAGATTCGTCACAACGCCGTTATCTTGTATGCATGTATCGGAGACACAGCACGCATCAATACCAAGACAGTGAAGAGTGAGAGTTAGTGATGCCTATTGGCAGACTGCGGACGTTAAAACAGTCGATATTAAAGATGCCCAAAGTGTAATAAAAGAGCTACATGTATCAAAGACAGGAGATTCAGTGTCAGCGGCAGTCTCTTACACAGAAGGGGAAGGGGGACAGAGAAAAGTAAGGAGCAGAGGGAGTATTGTCAGCAGGGTCGAGAAGACAGATGATACTTTCCGACTGACCATTCCTATGAGGGGTGTTGCTCGACGCGTTCTACCTCTAACCTTTGACACAACAGTCTGACTCACAAGGCCGTGGGGTACATGAAGGTTCACTTGAGGGACCCTACCCAGAACCTTTGGATCAATAGCCTGATCTACAGGCTAGTGGGGAGCAAGTCCAGCACAGGAGTGTGATTGTAGAAACCCGATATGACCGGTTTAATGCCTATCATACACAGTTTTTGGAGACGTAAAATAATGCACGTTTTATGACTGTAGTACGTTACGCATCTGCAATCATGGACAGTCACAGGTGAGTGTTGGAGCGTTCGTATCGATTTTACCAAGGGCTGCCTGGCTTGAGGCGGGCGGTAGCAAACCACTGAGCACCGGTAGGTGCCATCCCATCGTCAGACACAATACGTGGCGCCCGTGATCAAGGCCAATCGAGCTGAGCCTATAACCCGAAGACTTTTGGTCTCCTATGGTTAGGTTTTAAAGGAAGGTCATTGATCTCTCTCTAACCTAAAAAGAGGATTGTGAGACTGAGTATGACTTCTAACCATTGACCTGTCTGGTATGAGTGGCTCTGAAGGCACCTAGAAAGTGCCACCCAGCGTAGATTAATAGTTAACGCAGCTACATAGACCATAGCACCACGTTAAAGTTCAGTCTCGTTGCAATATTAACTATCATGAGCCTGCAAAGCTATACACGATAACCGCAAAAAATTCACTAATATGTCCCACTAGTGGAAGGCTAGCTTAGTCAAATATTGCCATCCCTGAACCTAATACACTCATTCAGAGCAGTGGACGACGCGATGTTATGATAACATTTCGCTCTTGACTCACGAGGGAAAAACAGCAGGGTAAAACGATCGAATTAATCTTCGACAACCGGGCAATCGGTAGCCAACCACAGCCGTTTTCTTCCAACGCTCGTGGGTAGTCAACACCAGTCGCAGTGATCGGAGGAGTGAGAATACTGGCTTGCCACTCCCAAATCACCAGCTCGATCCTTCTTAGATGTGGGTCACTCTACAGTATTACCGGCAAACATGCAAATGATGGTGATCGTGTAGCAGCGAAGTGCTGGCACAAACCGCCGGCATTTATTCTACTTCCTTTTTATTTTACTCTCACCCCATCATGCAATGGCTTCTATTAAAGGTACATTCCGCTAAGATCACGCGAAACTTGCGTGAAACAGTTTACCCGGTATAAGTCGTATAAATCTCCGCTTTCTCTTATCCATTAAGACAGGGAAGAAGAGGAAAATGGTCTTGTCTTGAAGAGCAGAACAATTCATTCACATGAATGTGTCAGAGGCTGGCTGCACAAACCAAAAGATGATAAGAGCTTGTAAATGGTAAACGTCTTACATGAAGCACTGTGAAACCGATGTGTGTAGTTCAGCAAAGGAGACAAGCTTTAGCACCACACCTACCTTCTGTGGACACTTTGAATCCGTCAGGGTTAAGTGAAGGTAACAGATGAATCTGGGTATTATCCAGAAGCGAAGTGATCAGCGGATTCTGTCCGTAGTTCAAACAAAACATCCAACCGAGCCTAATGAGTAGCTCACGTCCAATGGGCTCGTTGCCATGGATATTGGCTATCAACTTTACTTCTGGTTCGCCAGGTTCGTGAACATCGGGATGATCGCCCAGAGTAAGCACCCATAGCTTTCGATCCAAGACAGATCGACCAATGTCGTACACTCGTGTGATTTCTGGGCAAGTGGAGTGAATTTTTGAAAGTGTGGTATACAGTAGGTCATAGTGTGTGTAGCTAAATGAGCAGGAAAGATGTTGGATAACATGGAGGAGCGTACCGTTTAAAGGTCGGTGGCTCTAACAACGACCACCCTGGGTTTGTGCTGATGTTGGTGTACCGGGATGCAAGAAATAAGATTTCGGTCGATCTGCAGAGCGAAGATCAAATAAGGCAGAGGACACTTACACATTGGCAGTTTTGCTCCAAGCAGAAATAAGCCTAGAAGGTGGATAAGGAGCGGAACTGTGGGTAACGTACGAAATATCCGCTAGAATCACGACAGTGAGTAGAAGCAACATGACCATAGAAAACCAGAGTGAATGAGTGGAGCTAAAGAGAGGGAAGCGGAGTTGTTAGCTGCAGAAGAAGAGTATAAATCAATAATTCATTGTTAAAACAATGAATGTCCACTAGGAAGTAGATAGACTGAATAACTGTCCACTACCTAGATAGGCGAGGACATTGTAAAAGGAAGCGTAAGAAAGAGAAACGCAGGGAAAAACACAAAACAGCACCGGTCAAGAAAAGACAAGAGGAGGGCAATTCGGCATGCCGTACTACAAAGGTGAAGGTCAACGAAGTTCTTGCTAGGCCTGTCCTCATGACCAGTGGGATTACATAGGGCTCCGTCCTTGGTCCCGAACTTTACAAAATCATCAACGACCTTCCAAAAGTGCTACAAACTGATTGATCTATGCTGACGAGCCCAAACTGTGGTCAGAAGTGTCTAGGATTGAAGATTCGGACAAATTACAACTAATACTTGATCTATGGAACGACATGACAGTGAAATGGTAGTTAACCATCAACCATGACAAATGCTGTGTTCTTCCAGTCGGTTCTCCAGTACCTTTCGGCACCTACCACATTGGTTTCCTGCTGAGCAATGCGGCTTCTGAGAAAGACTTGGGTGTGATTGTATCCCCTAACTTGAAAACAATTCCGGATACGTTGCGGAAAATCGCTTCCGCCAACACGGCACTGCGCCATACGGAGGTCATTTTCAAAAATGACGCCTAAGATCTTCAAGCTCCTGTTTTCTTCTCACATCCATCCAATATTGGAATATGCACTAGCCGCCTTGCATCCGCTCAGAAAATTTGAGTGCGCTTTACTCAAGAAGGTTCAGCGGCGTGGATCCAAGTCTGTATCAGTGAAGCGTGATTTGTCTTATCCCCTTCGACTTCAGTGAATGAACTTGTTCTCTCTGGATTATCGTCGTCGCCGTGGGGATCTGATATACACAAAACGCATCCTAAAAAGGGATTTGGATACGGGAATGCAAGAGTTCTTCCCATTCAACGTAGAAAACTCGACACGGAGTCACAGTTGGAAACTGTTTAAACAGCAGAAGTTCCGCGTGCGGTCCGACGTCACGTTAACTACCCGGGTTGTGAATCGAGGGAACAACCTCGCGGAATATGTTGTCAGTGCCCATTCAGAAAAATGTTTCAAGCAGCGGTTGGATAACTACATGCTGAGAACGCGTGGATTCCACCGTTTTTGCTGCAGCTGTGCTGATCCCTTGGTGAACACAGGTCAGCAAGGACACGCGTCATCCAGACGGTGAATGGGAGTTGAAGGAGCTGACAAGGGTCTTTTCCCTTATGCTCTCTATAACACTATGAAACTAGGAAGCGAGAAGCGTAATAATTATGTATGGTCGGTCAGGTCAGGTTCCCAGAACGGTATAGGCTTCCACCTAACCAGCGTCCTGCTTCTTGCATCGGCAAGCAACCAAGGGCTCCCGGTACTTCGACTTCCAATCGCATTTCTTGCTTCTGCAAAAAAACGAAGCATAGGGAAACAATCTTGTACGTTCATCCTTCATGAGTTCTCTGAAAGGAGCACCAATAAGTTTACAATAGTTCTGAAAAATGTTCTAACTAACATCTGTCTAGACCTCTCTTGAAGGCGTCAACCGTTGTACAGTTCATCAACGAAAGGGAAGCTTGTTCCAGCTGCCGACAACGCGGTTCGCAAAGTATTCCCCCTGATACCTAGTCGAGACCTTCGATACCTGAGCTTAAGATGATGACCTCAGGTGATCTGATGTAGCTGGCTCAAACAGGTCGGTAGGCTTGATGCCATTGAGGCTCTTCATGATCCGAAGCAGCTCCAGTAGATCACCACGCAATCTACGCCTTTCCACAGAAAACAATCCAAAGCTCTTTAGACGCTCATATTAGGGCTTTTCACGCTGGCCCTTAATCATTTTAGTCGCCAGCTTCTGTACCTACTCTATACAAATAACATCCTTCCGGAGATACGGCGCCCACGCTTAGACACATTATTCTAAGTGGGGCCGCACCACCGTTTTATATAATGGGAGGAATACCCCCGATCTGATTTTACATAAGGTCCTCCTGAGGCGGTTGAGTTCCTACCGCGCTTTGTTGGCAGCATGCTGACACTGTGCTGAAGGTTTCAAGTTATCCGTAATGATGACACCTAGGTCCCGTGTTTTATCAACAGACAACAATGTCATGGGTCCAGTAGAAGTCTGCACTGTAATCCCATCGTTGCTGGAAGTCAGCAGCTGGCGTTTACTGACGTTAAGGGACAAATCCCATAAGACAGACCACTCTACCACAGTGCAGTGATCCTTGGACAAGGTGTCTCTATTACCCCTGCTAACCTGTTTCAGCTCGTGGGCAAAAACGTAACGAGGGTCATCAAGAAGAGGTGCCGAATCATTTATGAATATGAGGAATAGCAGCGGAACTAAAACCGAGCCCTAGGGAACTCCATTGTGAGCGGTGCCTATACTTGAGATGGCATAACCGGTTCTAAGGTGGAAGGTACTTTCTAAAATTAATGCCAATATCCCGGTCAACTATTGGGGATGAATTCCAAGCCAGGCCAGCTTCATTAGTAGGAAACCGTGGTATACCGAATCATAGGCCTTGCTGAAGTTAAAACAGCAAATCTCTACAGAAATCCCATTATCAAGACAACGGATTACTTCATCCAAGAAGCATAACAAGTTGGTAAGACATGACTTCTTCTTGACAAAGCCGTGTTGTGCCACTCTTATCAAGTTATGAGCAACTAAGTACTCACAAATTCGGCTTCTGATACTCCCGAAAGTTTTTCTGCACCTTGCATTCAATCCTTACGATGCTCCGTCTGTGGCATTCAGCTGCCGCTCGTAGAACATCTGTTGGTATCGCCTCCATTGCACTGTGGGTAAGCCACTTGTGGATAGCTACTTTTCCACTATGTTTGAGACATCCCAATATCAAATGGAGTTCCTTAAAGCTGTTTTCACTCAATGATTAATTTCATAAGGCATATGGTTCCCTGAAATGACGTTTGACCAACAACCGTAGAATTGCTATGGAAAGCTGATGGACGAAATGAGCCCATTAAGCGGGTGTACTCTGCTATCCGTCCGACTGGTCTGAATCTATGGACCGAAAACCTCTTTAGTGAACAGGGCTCTTTCTGACACCGATGGTTGATTAACGTTCCGACCCCACCACTTTTACTTCGGACCGAGCATTCTGATGACTTACTCTTTCGCCGTGTCGTCATCCTTTAGCGCGTAGATGATGCTACCTCCCGTATCGTGCTGACGGATTGGAACGAATGGCCCGGTCATATTGTACACCATCCATCACTAGTGACAGATGTCGATATTCAAACTATTTCTCATCTAACGCTGCCCGTTTTACCGCTTCTGGTGCACAAAGAACGCATCCTCAGCTTGGCGTTTAACAATCGTCTTCCTTGTCCTCTAACATAAAAGTAATGATGGCGGAACTATCTTCGTTACCTTCACCTCCAAGCCTTCCAATTAGCATTGTACGTCCTGGTGATTACTGTTGCTTTTCCGTGGCTCTCTCTGCAGTGTGATCTCTGTCTCATTTTGACTTGTTAAAAACACCCTTGAATTTTACAGGATAATTTGTGTTCTTTGGCTGTAGTAGTTTGTGCATCACGGTCAACTGCAGGTTGGAATTAGTGGATTTGCGCCTTATTGACCAGGGGCTACTTGCTTAAAGCAGACGGTAACAGACCATTGAGCTCCTGGTGGTCTTCCATCGTCAGAGGCATTGCTGTATCCCGGTCGAGCGGAACTTACAACCCATTTACTGTTGCGTCCCTGAGCCGTTTTAAATTAAGAGCACCATCCATCTCTACTAACCCCCCTCACGAAGCGGATGTTGGGTCTATGTTTGTCGGACCTGCAACCCCACGACCTGTCTAGCATGATTAGCTCAGTAGGTACTCTGATATTGCCACTCAGCCTAGCTTAGTGGTTGGCAATGATGCGAAAAGCGTCGCGCCTTGTTAAGACTGGTTTATGCGTACTCTACCTTCAATCGCTTTTTCCTTTCGTTTTGTATCTCCACTTTGTCCTTCATCCCATTGTTTATTCGCAACGATTTAACACTATATGTTTGAGGCAATGAGCAACTTGCGATTTTCTATCCTAAATCTTAATTGATGTCATGTAGTTATTTCATTTAGATCGGCTGGTAGCCCTAAGGATGAAGTATCTACTTACTTATCCAAAGGGCATCCTCACAATATTTCGAACATTTGCGCGACTGCTAGTGGTCGTGTGGCAGCAGAGCTTCGACGATGCACATCGGCGTAATGCTTGTAGCTTTTTTATGGAGCCAGTTTCGTCACAGTGTTGCAAAACACTGACACTGTACACCAGTTTGTAGCTTACCTAGCACGGGGATTTCCCTTTGCATATGGAGCGCTGTTTTCCTGCTGAAATTATTCTCTTCTCAACATATAACAAGTGGACTTATCACTCGACTGCGGGCACAGCTATGAAGCACTGCTCACGTTATCATTTATGCGTCCTTCGACCTAGCTGTGAGCAGTATGGTCCGGATGATTCTGCTTGTTTCTTGTATCCTCTCACCGATTTCGCTGTTCTGACTTTTTTCTGCTTTACTTTTGACGCCACTCCCATTATTTCATTCTTGTATTCAGAATCTGCCAAACCTTCCGGTGTGCATGCCCAGTTGGCTGATATTCTCACCACAGCATCACAGCTCGTTTATACCGACTCCCTACCTCCAGTCGCTTTGGGTATCCGCGTTGGCTGTCCCGTTCATCCCTCTTCCACTGTGTCTCCGCAACGTCTACCTGAGCTATGGCACAACACGCTACAGGGGTTGACTAACTTGCTTTCTGCCGTCCGAAATCGTAAGTGGCGTTTCGCATTCACTTCATATACGTCTGTTGGGTGATTCACTAGCTGGTGTGATAGCATTACTTTTCCTAGTTGGGATATGCTTTTCTACTTCACATATCGAACACTAGAACTGTGTATCCCTTTATCTAGCTTTATTGTCACAACCTGTCCGCTCATATTTGTGAAGAGCGTTCAAATGGCAATCATCAGCGCACCTCTACACAACTGCAGCTGATCTGATACTTGACAAACCACTTGTTACGCTGCTCCCTGTGCTTTTTTATAATTAAACGCGCCATATTCTGTTGCCTAACACATGGCGTCAAAGAAATTAGCTTACGGAGTTATTAATGGGAAGAACACATGGCCTATTCGATCATGAAGTTAAATATCGACCGCGACTTTCATATGCAACAGGAGAGCTGGCTGGATGGCTCTTGGTGCACCTCGCTACGTTGCCGAACTCGTGTGTTTTCTGGAATCATACCGAGACCACCATGATTAGGCAGCTGCGTTCACCTGGAATCCTGACGCCGAGTTAGCTCGATCACAGTCACTATAGTCATTATCATATGCTGTGTGATCTCCAACATCCACACAGTTTAGCCAGCCTACCTATTGGTTCACCAAACCCGAATCACTGTCCAGGTGCTTCGCTTTAATTACTCATCAGTTAACTTTTTGATTCGGTCTCCGAGCTGAGTAATTTAATGACAAACGTTTCACCATTTCCCTCATTGGCATCTTCAGTGCACTGCTCCGTAGAGGAAAATCTCATCGGTTGTACCTCGTAGAAAGGAAAGGCGGAAGCTTCTCTGCAACATAGGATTGGAATACCCTTATGGGCACTTGTGGTGTTTATACCTGCTTTTACTGCGCATCGCCTCGTGTCTTCATCTGAATAACTAATCGGTATTACTGTGTAATTCATCCGCCAGCCTTTCTGGCATGTATTTATCGGGAATCCGAAAGTTGTAACTTACACAAACGGAGAAAAGCTTACTGTGCCACCGCACCGCTTGAGGGCTTAAATTGCTTCACAGATCCCACAGTTGTTTCGCCGTAGTGTTCAGATTCGTTGTTGACCCTACGTGATCGTAAGCGGATGCAGATAACTGAGCTGTCAATCAGATTTACAACGCCATCTTCATGCCTGTACCTCAGCTTAAGCGTTGCACCTACTACAGACATCTGACCATTGTACGCCGAACGTTTGCTGCGCACCGATCGCGTTTGCTGAAGACAGTGTTTGGATGTGTTGCTTCATTCATTTGTTCCGGTTTCCAACCGATCGGACCCTCTGGTTGCCCCTAACAGCCGATTGTACCTTACTGGAACACATATTCTTGTGATTTTCATGATGTCTCTGGGTAGGGCAGCTCAAGGTTCCACATATTGCCTGTGCATATCCGCTCCGCAGGTTTCCTTTCACTTTCCGGAACGATGTCCATCCGTTATTTGTGACTCAGCCGGTGTGCTTCTGTCTTATGTTTTTTTCTTTTTTATTACGGCACACTAGCTTAGGTGTTTTCCACCTGCAGCTAACGTGTATAATTAATGTATGAATGAGTGAATGGGTCTCATTGACATTCACCATCTGATGTAATCTTTAAGCCGGCTTCAAGTACTCGGCGTTGAGAGATTTCGAGGAAATTTTTTTAAAATTATTAAATAAACAACCTTTTATTCTTGGCGATATAGACGCGCCTGTACCGGCATGATCGGATAAGTGCATAGGACATTGACCACAGGTAGATCAGTAAAATCAAAATCCAGATCAAATACTGACAACGAGTGCATGATCAATAGTTGGCTGAACTGAAATAATGTTCGTTCTCTCGCATGCCCTATTACGAAACAGCTAACTAACAGGATAGAGTATGCTGGCGAACTATGTATCAAGCCATATGGAATTTGGACTCTGCTCGTACGCTTGCCTTACAATTACGTAACAAGAAAACAGTTTGGCCACATTCTATACAATCAGGAAGCCGTTGATGCTTTTGCGAAACTCGTGTTCAAGTGTGCAGGAACATATTCCAGATGATTGCTTATTCCAGACGGGCGTTCCACTTAAAGCAAATGTTCTCAGACCTGCTTGCTTTCCGCCAACAAGTTCTGTTTGTGTCATGTGATCTAGATGGCTGATTACATCAACACCATGTTGAGGTTGGAAACCTATACATTTTTTGTGCAAGACGTTGAAAAATATAACTAGGTTGTGCTTCATACCCCGTAACCAATGTGCATCAATTAATAGCTTATCACCCCGTTCCGAGTATTCCAGTTTTGAAGAAGCAGATACAAGGCTTTTTTGAATGCTACCCATACTAGTTCCATTGCAATGCGGTCGCGCATCTTTGAGCTACTATACACTATTGAACAATATTCCGACCTGGGTCGAACGTTATCATCATAATTTGTATGTAAGAACGCACTATTGACCCTTGTCTTTATTTTTGCTTTGTCGCTGTTCATGTCCATATGTCCACTTACGTGCCGAATTGCATAATAATAATTCTAATGTTAGTAACAATAATATATATTCTCGGGTGTCTTCATGCTGAGGTTGATATTGCATACATCATGCTTCTTTACCGCAATTCGGCTACACTGACCTACACATAAGCTTAATCTTCTTACTCCGGATACAAAGTATTCCACTTTCAATATCTTGGAACCGACTGGGATATCATCATTTCTGAAGTTTTAGAATACAAATCGGTTTTCTACAGGCTTGTATTGTCATAATATAAACCTACAGGAAACCGGTTTGTATTCTGAAACTGGTACTTATCACATTCCACTTTATTTGATTTACTCAGTTCTTTTATTCTGCTACATATGCCGCGTCAATTTTGCGTGTTTGTTTTCTTCCAAATTCCATGTTGATCGTTTGATACCCCCGGTGTGGCTGTGCTTGAGCTGAATGTTGACAAGGTGCCTACCCGTCTAACATCCACCTCGATTACTGGCATCTGCAGACTGCTACTCTTTGCTGGGAGAAGGATGAATATCCTCGTTTCCCTGCCAATCTCAAACAGTAGTTCCATCCAATATGAAGCGGGCTACGGCCCAGCCGTCGCGTTGCGTACGCCTAGTATGCATGATTCCCAGCATAGATGGTCAGGAATGTTGCTGCTGCGCGTGTTGAAGGAGTGTGGACCGGCTTTGTGGATGAAACTTGGCTCCCATCCACTTGCATCCCGGTCCTATTCCTTCGGATTTACACTGCATATAGGGTGTGTGGGTGGAGCAGCAGAAGCCGCCTGTGGTCCGTCTATAGGCACATTCTTCCTGCGGCATTGACAGGATGCCGCCAACTATATTCTCGGGTTCATGAGACATTCTCTTTTCGGCACGATCGTTTTGTTGCACTTGTTTCCTATGATATCAACAACATAGTTTAGATCTAGGCAGTATCATAATTATACTTTTAACAT